CTTACAAACATGCCTCTCTCAGGTCTGGCTTCCTTCCCTCCTGTTTGAAAGAACACTTTTCTTCTCTTTTTTTGTATCCATTCTCTCCTGTTCCCAAAATATACAGTATCCTAAAAGACTTAGTTCATTTAAAAAGCTTTAGTAGCTTAAAAATGCATGAAGACTTTTGGGACACCCTGTATGTAATGAAAACATCTTATTTTTTCCAAATAAGCAAAATCTAAATGTCTGTAGACTTTTTGCCAGGGAGGGTAGACATTAAAGCACTATTTTTATTTTATTTCTTTTTGGCAGTGTGGAAAGCCAGTTTACCTAAAAGCTGTATATCCTTAGTGTGGATTAATTTCAGTTATTAGAGCCTGATACAGACTAAAAAGTTTCATCACACTACCGGTATCTTATCTCAGTCCCTTTATTAGATTCTGTGAAGCAATTAGCCAGTAAGTCAACCAAACTTTCCTGTAACAGTAGTGATGCAATTTTTGCTGGAGTCTAAGCAACCTTTTCCATACAGCCTGTTAATTGTGTTTTTAAAACATCTTCTATCAGACTTCCCAAAGAACTCCTAACAACAGCCAACATAAAACTACCTGGGAAAGATACACATAACAGATATCATAACTAGGCAGATGGGTTTACTCTTTCTGGCCTGCAGAAATCTGCTTTGACTTTGCAATTAGAATTTAAAACTTTTCATCTGAGGCTGCACTCCACCCCACCCCAAAATCAGTAGCTCCTAGTGGTCTCATTAGCTGGATTCTTCCATCTATGTGTATTCAGTGACACCCTCAATTATATCTTATCCTCCTATTTTCCTTCTAACTCAATAAAGTTGGACCTTTCCTTCAACAGCTGATTTTTTCCCCACCCCTTTGTGTATCTGTATAACAGAAACCACAGAATTTATTTTATAGCAGCTCCATGGCCTAAAATTAGTTCAGCTCAGTAGGTTGCACTCTTACATGTTTAGTTTTTTACTGTACTTCTGCCTAGATTTTATACTCTCCTGTTGTAGTCATCGTAGTCTCAAAACATAAATATCTGCTCTAAGTTTACCAGATCTGATGCTATTGCTAATAAAACCTAGGATTTTTTGTAACCTGTAACCTTAGCAGTAGAAATACTCTGTCTTATTTTTTAGTTAACATGCTCTATGAACAGGACTAGGCCAATGTTTTGTTCTTAGGAAGGACAATAAGAAAGAGGGACCTTCTGCAGTATCAAAATAAGCAGATTTATATTGACTTCATTTGGCCACACAAGTTGGTAGTTTTCAACCAGGAAAAATGAGCTAGTTAGCTTTGGGCCCACCCAATTTTGAAATATGTTGTTAGGTCAACGAAGAAAGCAGTCCTTCTGGGGAATGACTTCCAGTTGTAATGCTCCATTCTCCAGAGCACCAGTTAGCTTCTCCCATAAATGACTCTTGTCTGAAGTCTATTTCTTCTCGATTATTATGGTGAGGAATGAAATCAACTCTGGGCTGAGATTTTTTTATGTTGTTCCTGATCCATCACTGAGCAAAGTTTCAGATCTGGCCAGAGAAGCAGGTAATGAATAGAAACAAACACAAATCCTTCAAGACTTTTCATTGTTTCTACAAATTTAGAAATTAGGTAGAGAATCTGATCACTTATACTCAAAAGTTACTTTCCTTCAAGCATAGGGCTTAAAGGGGTAGTATGTGTTGTCTTGGTGGCAGTTTTTTCCATTAAATTCTTAGCTTTCAGAAGTTTTGGGAACAAACCTTGGGAAGGAACAGAGTAGAATAGTCCCAGAGATTGTTTTAATTATTGTAAGGGGTCTTCAGAGTATTAGAGATTACCAGAGTACATGTGTATATATATTGATATGAGAGGAATTTAAGAGAAAAAATGACTAGAATGGACCAATTTTCAGGTTTTTTTTTAAAATCCTCTAGATATCTTGATGTCTACATGGAGGTGATGGGTACTCCACTCCTGCTGTTCTAGTCAGTTTTGTTGACCTTTAGCTCTTGGAAGCCTTGCCTTTGAGTAGAATATACTGACTTAGAGGTGACATTTAGTGAGTAAACCTCTATTTACCTTTCCCCAAACCATGGCTTCCCTCCATCATGGAGAGGAGACATTGTGCACTATTGCATAATTTATCTCTCATTTCTTCCTTTTTACCCCTTCTCCTATCAACCCATCCCTGTACATGTGTACAGTTTCCTTCTCTAGGATCTTCTAGTAACTTCTTTCTTGTTGTCAGGGAAGAAATAAATTAGTGAGTGGGTATTGTAGTATTAAGCACACTCTGGAGGGACCAGTCTAATACCACTACCCCTTTAGTCTTTATGCCTTGTTATTTTGAAAATATAGCATGTGGCATCTTTTTCTAGGGATACGTGGTTTGAAGGATCTTTGGAGAAAGTTTTAGAAAGTAGAGCTAATTTTCTCTGCATTGACTCTTTGGTATTGTCGGGAAGGGGAATGTTAATGGGATATATACTTAAAGTAGACTTTTCCTGGGAGAAAGCCTGTTTAGAGCAATAGTCAATGAAATAAACAGGAGGCTCTTTGCCTTCCCTTGCCAGCTACCTCCTTGACTGACTTTGACCAGTCCAAACTGTTGTCTTTCTGCAGTAAAAATAGCACAATGATACCCTGTCTCTATCCGTATATGTTTCCTTTCCCTTTTCCCCTAGCCACTATAAAGTTTGATGCTGGGCTTCATTAGGGCATTGCAGCCACAAAGGATGGGGTTATGGGCCTTTAGATTGCTTCCTGGGCATGATCTTTAAATAACGAACCATACAGGTGCCCTCTGAGAGAGAGAGAGAGAGAGAGACTGACTTAGACTAATGCAGAACAACAGAATGAGAAGACACTAAAAAACAAAGAGAAAAGCTGTCATGGTGGGTAATACAGAAGTGATGAATAGAATATCTTTTGGGAAAACCTGGTGAATATGAACTCATGATACATTATTTAAAAGAAATTTTTCTCCTTGAGTTGCTAGTGTTGTATAGTATGTTAATTAAACTTGTTGAGCTGAAGCTTTGAGTTATTTTAGTCAAGGAGACATTTACTTTGGTTTCTTTGTATTCTTTTATGCCATATAACCCTTTTGTGAGATGACCCTTTTCATTTTCCCAGAGTGTGAATTTGTAGCATGACTATACAAACCTCTATACAGAAAATGCAGATTTCTTGTTCTCTGAAGTAGGCTTAGCAATAGCAACTGGACTTCTTTCCCTTTTAGTCTAGTGTGTCTGCATACTTTTTTTTATGTACTTATTTATATTTTATAGCTTAAACTGTAGTGTAGTCTTTGTGGCACACTGTGGTCAGGGGAGAAAGGAAGCTTGCTCCATCTCCCCCGTAATGTTCACTTATCAAAACATTGTTTTTTTACAGGGATTGATCAGATACAGGATTTTGTGATAACCAATTTTAACACTCCACAATGGAACCACATTACTGAAATTCCATACATTTTAGGCAGTTTTGAAGGTACTTTACACTGCAGTGTTGCACCTCTTTATAATACTTCATAATTTTCTGTATCTTCAGTAGGTTATTCATATTTCTGACCTTTTTATTCTAAGTTTCAGCCACCTCTGTAAGAAGTACAGTTTTATCTGCCTTTCATACTTTGTAATAAAACTTGAACATTTGTAGATTAATTGCATTTCTTCTTGTGATCAATTCATACCTGCATTCAAGCTTTCTTTCTTTGACACCAAAGCCATTCTTTGGTAGATAATTAATTCATGAAGCCTTAGTCTGAGGGGACAAGTTGAGATTAGGTCTCAGTCTTCTAGACCTGGCAATAATCTGCTGTAATAGATTGGGTATAGTGATGTAATTAGGAATTACAAGTCCAGAAGAAGACCGACCTCCCTTTTCCAAACCAGATTTATCAAGTGCTAGACTTGGGGTGGGGGGGTAGGAGGATGACTATAACTCCTTATTCCTAGAAACTGTGCCTCTCAATGCAGCCCAAGATTAGTTGCCATATCACACTGTTAATACATACCAAGCTTGTAGTCCACTAAATCACAGATCTTTTTCATATATACTTTTGCCTAATTATGCCATACCTATTTTGTACTTGAAGTAATTTATTTTTATTTTTATTTTTTTGGAAACTAGATCTTCTTGCCTTGCCCCAGCTTGCGGTGAGGGCCACTCACAACTGATTGGCATGAGTGCTTTTAACCTGCTGTTTTTGACATGAGCGTTTGCTTAGACAGCTTGGTGGCTCTCCACAGACTCACTATATAGGTGCTGGACTTAATTCATATATTCAGTTGGTTTTTGCCCCACTACATCTCAGAACTCAAGTGATCCACCAGCCTCAGTCTCCCCAGGAGAAGGGATTTAAAGGTGTGTGCTACCACCCTGGCAAAAGCGAAAATTTAAAACCCAATGTAAGACTTTACATTTATCCGTATTGAGTTTCATGTTGATTAGATTTGGCCCAACATTCTAGTTTGTCGAGAACTTTTAAAATCATGACCCTTGGCATCCAGGGTGTTAACTGTACTTACCAGATTTATTTCATCTGTAAATTTGATAAGCCATGCCTTTATTTAAGCCTTTGATAAAAATGTTAAACAAGACAGAGCCAAGCATAGATTCCTGGAAACTGCTCTGAAGACTGCCCTTTCAGGTTAATTTCTCTTTATCCTTTTGGATGATGATGTCCCTTGATGGGCCTTCTTTGACTTCTTCCTGTTTTTCTTGAGGTGTGCACATGGTCATCTAAGTGTTGCTAGACCATGATTTTTAAGGAAGAGTAGGATATTTCTTTTCTGATATGTATCGAATGTTGGCTATTGGCGCTAATACAGTTGAAAACAAAATATTAACATGGGGGAAAAATCCATTTTCTGATTATGGATGGGACAGGGCAGTCCATCTTACTTTATCTGTGACAGTAAAATAAACATATATCTACATCTTTATGCTCACATCTCACTTTCCCTGCAGTGACCACAAGTGTCCCAGTACAAATATAAATTAACTTTATGTACCTTAAATAAAAATGCCTTTCTCTCTGAAAGATGGAGGTGGAAAGCATTGCTGAATTAGGAGAGAACACCTGAAGCTACTAGGCATAAATGGGGAGCAACTGCTGAATAATAGGCTCTTTCTAGAAGGCCTTGTGGGCTATATGCCATGAAGAGGGTTTATGAGTAAGGACTTAAAGAGAGGGAACACATTCATAGCATACTATAGCCAATTAAGTTAGTAGAATGGCCAAAGTAAGGTAAGTTTCCCTAGGACCTTGTTATGGAAACCTCCTTAAATGGAAATCACATGTATTACTCAGTGAAAGCTCCTTAAATAGAGGTCTCTTGGTCCCTGTGACCTGCTTGGGCTGACTTCCCGCCACCTCCAACTGGGGGAGGGTTAGCCATTGTAGTAATAGCTTGTATTTATGTATATCTTCATTTCTTCTAATACAAGAAAGAAACTTTTAGTATATCGAGGGCCTAACCTGCCTCTGCTATACACAGATGCCTCAAATTTAGGCAACAAGCAAGATGAACTGTAGGTCCTAAAGCAGAGGGGCAAATTTGACCTCAGAGCTGTCACTAATACCTAAAGAACCACGTTATTCCATGGCATTCATATGTGAGGGAGTGTAATAAGGGCAACTCACACCTCCAATACTGAAAAGCTGCCTGGGTCTTCTGTGATAATGATGCTTTTTTCTGCCAAGTGTTGCTTTCTGTTGTTCCATAATAGGGGGCTTCCTATTTCAGCTGGTCATTAACATTGGCTATTTTCTGGGTCACCCAGTACCCTCTAATAACTTCCATTAATGCTGTGTTTAGAGCTCTTTCATACACCTCCATCATCCCTAGGCCTTGGAATTGGGAATGCTGTGGTTAATAATTCTCACCCCTGCTAAGAAGAGGCTATAGCTCTTTGCTCTTTCAGCTTTCTCTTGCCCCTCGACTATAGTCCTTTGTGGAGGTACTATCTCACAAGCCACCTGCAGCTCTAATATGGGTTTACTGGAGGTGCTGTGGTTAGTAAGCAGGAGGGTTACCATTATCTTCAATTAGCATTATCAGCCAATATATAAGGTTTCTGCAGTCTTCTCATCACACTCCTCTCAACCAATGACTGAGATCAGATTTAGCTTGAGAACTCTTAAATTGCTTCTCTTCTGAATTATTCTGGTAACTACTAAATGTTAAACTTCTCTCCAAACTTAACTGCTTTGCCTGGAGCTCTCAGTTCAACTATGATTTAACTTTTGGTTAGAAACTCATTTTAGTTCTTAAGTCTTATTTATAATCCCTGGTTGAGGTAAATCTCTCCAAGGCTCTATTTCCTTAAATGAAAAAAAAAAATTGAGAGACACTGTGGAAAGGAAACTGCTTGAACTATTCTTTATTTTTTGTTTTCTGTTTTTGTAAAATATCAGTGGCTATGTTGGCTTTCTCTTTCATTTTTATTACTAAGGTATTCTTATGTGCAAATATCTAGGAATCAGAGAGAAAGCATGGTGGATAGGAAACAGTATATAACTTCTGGACTTGCCTTAATGATAAATTTTATCCTTCATAAGGTGGAGGAAATACTAATCATGATGGTGCTTGTAATCCCTGCTACCAGGGAGACTGAGACTGGTGGATCATTTGAGCTCGAGAGTTCTGAACTACAGTGGGATATGCACACTAGGTCCAGGATCAGTATGGTGAGTCCCCAGAAGTGGGAGGGCCATCAGGTTGTGTAAGGAGGGGTGAACCAGCCATGGTCAGAAATAGAGCAGGTCAAACATCCTGTGCTGATCAGTAATGGGAGTAGCCCTTGCATCTCCAGCCTGGGTGAGAGAGGGGAGACCTAGTCTCAAAAAATATGGAAGGAAGGAAAAGAAAGATGGAAGAATCAATCGGGGGAAATTCTGTTCTGAATGTGATTCTTACTAGTAAGGAGAAACTGGTTGCTGGGAAATGATGAGGACATTGTAGGGGAAGTAAAGTCTGACATGCATCTAGATTCTGGGAGAACAGATTTCAAAGGGTTCTAAGAAGGACTGGGTAGGATCCCATAACTAAAATGCTTATTGATTGATTACAGGGGAAGTCAACCCAGGAGAGATAGGAAACTCTCACGAATGAAATTCTGAAGAGACAAAGGAAACAATTCTGATGAGGTAAAAATGGACCTTGTCTGAAGAGATTGATGTGGGCACACTGAGAACTCACCAACTTAGACTTGAAAGAAATACATACAGAAGATGAAGACAACAAGTTGCAGAGAATGAATACAACAGTGTAACAGCAGTAGTGTCAGGGGAATGAAAGTAATATTGTAGAAGGCAGATGAAGTAACTGGTAACAGAGAAAACAGCTGCTCAATTTTAATTTTGCTTCTATTTTCTCTGCCAAGGACAGTGATCTTTGGAATGGAAAATTGGCTTATAGGGACTTGATACCCAGGGTAAGTAAGGATGTAGTAAGATAGTGCCTATTCAACGTGTGATGAATGCAAATTACTTGGCCCAACTGAACTACATCCTTGAATACTTAAAGGACTTCTGGATGTGATTTCTAAGCCATTTGTTAGTGTTATTCAAAAGATCATGGAGTCCAGGAAAGATGCTGCAAGAATAGAGATGGGCTAAATGCCCTAATTTTCAAAAGGAAGAGAAAAGAGTCTTTAAACTGGATCAGTGAGCTTGACTTAGATTTCCAACAGAATTCTAAACATGTTAGCAAAGATATCATTACTGAAAAGAACATTTAGAGAAAAGAAGTGGTGATCACAAAGAGACTTCAAGAGCAAACTTAATTTTTTTTTAAAGGCTTATGTTGGTAGATCAGGGGAATACTGTAAAATATACTTTACCTAGATTATATAGCAAAGCATTTGATTGTCATGTTATTTTAATGGAAAAGATGGAGAGATGTGAATTAATAACTTCAAAAGGATAATAGTGCCTCTTCTTGGCAGAGAGATAGTGGACTAGAAATGTGGAATGAGATTTTCAGCCACTGCCAATTTGTTGATGTTTTATTTGACTCTTCTTATGTGTTACAAGGGAAGGTTCTCTTGCAGTCAGTGAGAAGTGGTAGTGATATTAAGAGAATGACAGTGAAATTTTAAAAAGTGACTTGTTGATGATAAATTTAGATGAATTCAGAATTAGCTCAATGGTGGGATTTAGAGCAATCATTAATCGTTCAATGGCAGGTTTTCAATAAAGCCTCAGGGGTCTGTGATTGGCCCTGTGCTGGTAGACTTTATATCAATGACTTGGGTAAATTAGTGTAGAAGATGCATTTTATCAAATATGCACTCAACACAAAACAGGAAAGGATAGCTAATGTAGAGATAAAGCTGGATGAGAATGTAAGGCCCCTTATTAAGAAAAAATGTATTTTATTACTAAAGGTAGATAGAAGAAGTAAAAAATCTGGTCCTCCTATTTAGTAGAATAGTTAATATGTCCTAACTATAGCCAATATCTTTTTCCCTGCATGCCAGTCACCATGCCTCTAGAGTAGGACTAGGTTTTTTTTATACAATATTTCATAAATACAACACAACTTCATGTTGTTAAGCCCACACATGAAATTTTATTGCAGACAAATTTCCAAAATTTATCTTAGTAGAGCTTGTGTCTCATTTCCCATCAGGATGCTTCTCTTCTTTCCCCCTTTGTGTTGCATGACTCGAAAGGAAAATGCTATTATACCTTAGATAGATTTACTGTGAGAAATGGCAATATTAAACGTATTATTGAACCTCCTCCCAAGCAGATGTCTACTGCTTGGGTAAAAGAGCCAGGGGCCACCAGCAACTGTAGTGTTAATATTTGAATTTACCCATTTAATCTTCCCAAGGAAACCTGTGGGGTAAGTTTAGTCTGAACTTTCCAAGGAAGCCTTTGTGAAAACCTCATCTATTTCTTCACCCAGATACTACTCTTACCTATAGGAAAAGAAGATAAAGTCATTTCTTGGTGCAAATGGTGGCCATATTCAGCAATTAGTGATGCAATTGACAATCTCTGGTTGATTGACAAGTGAAGATCGCCTCAGATCTTTGACTTCACACTCTGATGTCCTGCAACCCCCAGGAATGTGCTACTAAATGTTTCCTAACAACTGACTCTCCAGAAAACAAAATATATGCGTATCACACTTTTAAGGTTAATTTTAATTATTCACATTTTTCTCCATCACTTTCTTAAGTCTAGACGGTCAGTGTCAAAAAGAAAAATCAAGCCCTAATTTGTTAGGTTTGCCGATTTCTGAAGTGTAAACGCTCACACTGAAAATTTAACACTTGGTTCTCTGAGTCGTTTCAAGTTGATTCAGCACGTTGTTCTGCAGACTCCTATTTTAAGCATGCTGGCTAAGATGCTGCTACCCAGGTTGTCATAGTCTCTCCTTAGCAATTCATAGCCATGCTTCTGAGGGCCCAGGAAATACCAAGGAAAAATTCTACATTTAAGCCTCTTCATCCAGTCTGGCTCCTACACCTGATGGCTGTGTGCCGTATTGGTATTTTGTTTGTTAGGTTGGGTTTTTTGGTTTTTTCTCCATTTATCTTCTCTGTCCCTTTCTCTCTGTTTTCTGAGTGCGTCTTCTGATTGTCTTTTAAAAAATAACATTTTAAAGCATTTTTGTTCAGGACACTTCCTACATCTGCTCTGATTCATTTGTGGAGTAAATAAATAGTTCACTGTAGAAACCAGGGAAAGATGAAGAAAGGTTCTGGCTATCTACACCAGCATTATATTAATACAGTGGATGACCAGGTCAGGATTGAGCAAGATCACATAACTAGAACTGGATGGGACCTTAGAGGTTCTAGCTAGACCTAACCTCTCCTTTTACAGATGAAGAAACTGAAGCTCAAAGAAATTTAGTGACTTAACCAAAGTCACATAGGTAGTAAGTGGCAGAACTGTTCTATGCTCTGAATAAATCGTATAAATCATCATCATAATATAATGAAAAACTAAGTGAAAAGAGTTCTTCAAACTTGGTTCCTGTGATTCTAACCAAGTTCAGTATTGTTTCCATTAAATCACACTTTGGGATAATTGCCCAGTCTAGTAAATTGAAATTTGATAGGGATAAATTATAAAATAAAATGTTACATATTTGGCATTAAAAATGCACAAATATGAGGGGAGCAGTTTCAAAAACATTTGGATATTTTATTGGGCTGTCACTTCAGTATGAGTTAGTAATGTGACAAAGCATCCAAAAAAGTTAATGCCGTCTTGGACTGCATTGAGAGGCTTAACTTCCAGGACTGAAAAGTTGATAGTTCCTCTGTACTCTGCCTTAGACCACATGTGGAATATCATATTCAGTTCTAGGTAGCAAAGTTTAAGAAGGTTGATAAGTTCATGAACCATGTCAAGGTGGTGAAAGTCCTTAAGCTTATCATATGAGGATGAGTGGAAGGAATTACAGATGTATCGCCCAGAGAAGAGAAGACTCAAGGAGACATGGTAGCTGTCTAGAATAGTATAATATAGAAGTACTCTCAAGTGGAACAGGAATTAGGTTTGTTCTATTCAGCATCATTGGGTATAATCAGGAAGAATTAGTGAAAGTTGCAAAGAAGCAAGTTTAAGCTTGATAAAGGGAAAAATTTCCTAACAATTAGAGGTATCTTTAAGTAGAATGAAACGTCTCAGGACATAGTGCGCTTCCCCGAACATTGGAAGTCTTTCAAGGAAAGTCTAGATGACTATTGAATATGTTGTAGTGGGGCTTTTTTAGGTATGGGTTGGACCACTAGATGCAGCTGAAGTCCCAACTCTAAAATTCTGTGATTAATTCCTTTATGCTTGTTTTGTTTCCACGTTGGCTATGAGGGAAGGGAGGCAGATTTTATTATCCCACTTTTACTGGAGAAAACCACTATGTCTTTGATACACTTTCTGCTTCTGAAGGTTCTTTTTCTGGCTACACCTAACTGAGGACTTCAGAAGCTAAATGACCAATTCTGTGATAGGAGGTAGCTCCTTTACGCCTCTATTTCCTCTTCTATACAATGAAGGTTTTTGGAGGAGTGCTAGGAAGATGCTGGAGGATGGTATCTCTAGGAACAGCTCTATCTTCACCCCACCAAATAATATAATACTAAGAAGAGCCCCTCAAATACAGAAAATGCAGTAATGATGGGAAGTGAAAATCTGCCACGGGGTTATTCTGCAGACCAAATTACCAGCCTATCACTTTTGTCCCTCTCCCTGAGGTTAACCCCTCAGTAACATAACAAAGAGGTTCTCACTCTCAGGATGGGGGGGTGGAGGACCCATTGCTCTGGGTGCTTCATCTCTCTCCTGTAGCCCAGGGTCCCCTAGATTAGTCCTCTGACCAACATGGCTGGGGCGAGTTATAAGTACCTAACTTTTGGAGTTAAATCAGTGGCAGCTGCAGCTGCAAGAGGAACTCTTCTACCAGGAAGAGGTGTGACTCATTAATCAGATCAGCCTCAAAAAGGGTGGGAGGTGGGGAGAGGGTTAGCTGTGGGGTATAGAAGTTAGGGCATAAAGTAGAGAAGGGAGGAGACCAAAAATTTAGTTCCAGTTACAACTATTTAATACAGCACAGCAGGAAACAACCAAGAGGAGCGAGAGAAAGGCAAAGAGACCCAATTGGAAAAGCTTAGAGCACCCCTCATGGTAATATCTTCAGGGAATCTCCCCCAGCTTCTTCCAAACCAACCCCCCAGGGCTAGCCTAGGAACTGAAGAAGGCGGTTGCAGAGAGGAAAGTAGAGTCTGAAGAGTGGAGCTGCTGAAGGAGAATAGGGCTTTCTACATTTCCATTAATAACTGTTCAGTCTTGCCTTCTGAGGAAAAGAGCCCTCATCTACTCCTGCTGGTTTGAGAGATGGAGAACTGTCCATCAGAAATGAAAGGATTGGCTGGTTTGAGCGAGGGCACTATAGAAATATCAGCAGTTATTGATAGAGACTAAGGAGAAAAAGTGAACAAATCTGAAGAAATCAGCTTTCTCGATGGATGAATGCTTCACAACAAAGGAAATCGGTCAAAATCAACAAGCTTTTATTAAATACCTATTGGCACTATATGAGACAATGAAGATGCAGTGACAAAAATAAAATTCTCCCTTCCCCCCAAGAAGCCTACATTCTGTTGGAGTAGTGAACTTGTACATACACATGTACACAAACATACAAGATATATATGTTTTTAAATATAAGGTAATCGTTGGGCAGAGTGGATAGTGCCACTGGGTGATGCAATGGATAGAGTTGGTCCGGGACTCAGGGAGTCTCAGACACTCCCTGTATGACCTTGGACAAGTCATTTCACCTCTGTTGGTCTAAGTTTCCTCATCTGTAAAATAGGGATAATAGCACCTACCTCCAGGGGTGGTTGTGAGGATCAAATGAATTAATTGTAAAACCTGGCACATAGTAAGAAGTACAGAAATATTAGCTATTATTATAGGGAACTAGCACAGATATATGGCAAAAAGAGCCATTTGCCAAAAATAAGTGAACAAAAGATATAAACAGCTTTCAAAAGAATTACAAACTTCAAATGACCACATCTAATTTTGCATATCATTTAGTAATTAATGAAATGCAAATTAAAACAAATTTGGCATTTGCTTTTATGTCATGCAAATTGTCAAAAATGATTGAAGATGGAAACTCTATTGGAGAAAGACAGATATACTGGTGGACACTGTTGGTGGGACTGTGAAGTACTCTAACTATCGTGGATATCAGTTTGCAACTGCAGATGTAGCACCCCCTTTGGGCCAAATTCTCAACCCCCATCCCTATTGCCTCACTGGGTCCCCGCATTGAGCAACTTATCCACCTTAAGATTATAGGGGTAACTCTCGGACTGAGGTTTCTAATATATCTAGTAAGTTCTCAATATTGATTAGCCAGTTGATATCAATTAGCTTTTACAAAGGGATAGTTTGCTGAGGACATATGGCAAGACCAAGTACAGAATCAGCCCCCAGCCAGGGTCTATTCTCCCAACGTGCACATATCAGGTCCCTGGAGAAAATGGCCCTGAACTTGGAAGCACAAAGGAACTGAGGCATCCATGTAGAGACCATACATGGCCAAGGAGTATCTGTAGGCCCTTGGAGTTCTTTTCTCCTTTTGAGGAGTCCTCAGCAACTTCATTTCTGGGTGTGGTATAGCCAGTATAGATGAGTTACTCCTTTCTCAGCTGCTCGAGCTCCTTATAGGACTTGGGTCAGTCCACTGCTAGGCTGGGTCAAGCAAGTCACCCATCTACTGGCTGAGTTGACTCAGCACTGGGCTTGGTTATTGGTGCAACCTTGGCTTTGATGGATCTTCAGCTCTCACTGTTTGACTGAATATCTACATCTCAGGATATTCCTTTCCATAAGATCAGGAAAGAATGAAAACACCAAAAATGCACCGTGGGATCAGACACGTGTGGTGGCCAGGTGGGGAGACAAGGCAGCCAAAGTCACCTCGAGGCTCACAGCAGTTCTCTTCCTGCAAGGAAGAAAAAGCAAAAAGAGCCAAGGAAAGGATGTATCAGTTCTTTTGTGCGTGAACTCATTTCTGGTTCAGTCACTTGTCCCCATACAGCAACCAATCACCAGAGTCATTAAGGCCTGAAATAGTCTTACCAAGCCTCTGCATCTTCAGGCTTGAAACCAGGAAGGAGATATTGTATATGCTCTGTATAACTGACTAGGAAGGGCAAATATGCTTGTGCTCAAAAGACTGGACCCTCATTGGCCAGTGCCTCATACAAATGACTAAGCTGCCCTTTAATCCCACTATGGGGCATACCCCAAGGAAGTCAAAGAAAGAAAGAAATGTACGATATGTATATACCAAAATATAGTTGTGCTCTTGTTAGCAAAAAGCTAGCAACCAAATGAGTGCCTGTTATTTGGGAAGTGGCTAAAAAGCAAACAAACCAAACCAAACCAAAGGAACATGAATGTAATCAAGTAGTATTGTGCAGTAAGAAATGACTAAAGAATTCAAAGAAATATAAGATGTGTATGAACTGATGCTGTAAGGAATAGAACTGAGTGCAGCAACAAAAATATCTTTCCTGTTGCTAACTGGTCAAAGGATATGAATAAATAGTTTCCAAAGGAAGAAATTCTGGCTGTCAACCATGTGAAAAAAAAAGTGCTT